TAACCTTTACCAGGATATTACAACTGACTACCTTTTTAGCAGAATACGCAGGCATGCGTGATGAAACAAATATGTGGGTCTAACACAGTTCACAATAGCTTCATGAGCTGTTATAAGCTGTTTTTTTTTTGTCAAATACTCATTTGCAAAACAGCTTCATCTTCATGGATGAAGCTGTTTTTCACCTCCTCTCACAAAGATATGAGTTGAGATGAAGCTGAAAAAATAGCTTATCCCAGCTTCATCTCCCATATTATAGTCATTCTATTCATCGTTCCATTATATAAAGCTGTTTTGCCAAATACTTGTTCGAAAACAACTCAGCTTCAACAAAAAGTTGCTCATAAAGCTATTTAAAAAAAAACAGCTTATATGGTGAAGCTGAGCTTGGCCAAACGGGGTTATATTGTGTTACAAGCTCCAGGTCATAGCCGGCTGTTAGGTTGCACAGAGATTTCGGATGATTCAATAGTGTTCTATGAAAAGAAATAAAAGCTGAAATAAGGTGAAACAATCTGAAACATGAGCAGCCGAACACGCTGAATATACCCCTAAGCGGTTAGAAATATTATATGCGTATAGAGTCTGTATCATTGCGTTATCTACTCATCATGTTCTTTGTTTTTTTGTTCTTTTCGGTAAGGGGACTCTTTATCTTGCAATCGGTTTGCACATCATCATCAGCGTGTGGTCCTCTCAGCACAGCGTGCACATAGACTACTTCAGTGTGCAGTGTGCTCCACTGCTCCTTGCATTGCTTTGCTCGAATCAAAGAAAATCCATTAAATACAACATCATCTTCTTCTCAATTGTTTTCTTTCGTCATGCTGCTCTATCTTTATTTGCGCCCAGCTGACTTTTGTACACTTATCTATATACATCGCATCTACTTCAAAGATATGCCGCAGCGTAGGCTTGCCATTTTGTTCTTTTACGCGTAAAGAAAACAGGGGGAAAATCTATATATATCTTAATGGATTCGCTAAGATTTATAGTTTATCTTCCTCTGTGTGAAAATTGTAGAGTTGTATACAAACTTAGGTCCATTGTTGGATATCCTACCAATCCTGCAGAGACGCTATATACATCAATACATTGTCCTATATCATCATTAGCCTTATCATGTGACGTAACCCTGCCACAAAACTCCAAAATTTCATGCGATGTACTTGTACCAACCAATACTGTCTAATACCATATACAAATGGTAGAAGTTACCTCTGAATAGTGCCCAATACCATTGTTGGGGCCCCAAGCCTATGGGCGCCCCACTAGGCTCATACGCCGTCGCCCAGCGTGCATCCGGCATTTCGCAGTGCGAAATGACTCGAAGCAACGACCCCGCTTCTTGCCAGGACAGTCACCATTTCGCGAAGGCGAAATGTGGGCCTTATGTTCGGGTCTTAGGGCAACCCGGGCACAGGATCCGCCCCGTTCGCCCGGTCAAAAGGCGCGGGCAAGCCAGCGCGCCATTCCATCGAGGTGAATAGCATCTTGGGGGACACCCTCGCGAATTGACCTTCGGCCTGGCGGATAGTTGGCTCGGCGCTCCTGGGATCGAGCGGCAAGGCACCGGCGAAAACGACAAAGCGGTCTGGGCTATTCGCCTGGACGAATAGTTAACTCTTGGTTGTGTATTACTTTGCAGGGCCTTGTTTAACATTAAAATTCCAAGTTTTTTCGCTCTTTCTCCATCACATTAATTTTTGACACATGCATGGAGCATTAAATGTAGATAAAAAAAGTAACTAATTACACAGTTTGGTTGTAAATCACGAGATGAATCTTTTGAGCCTAGTTAGTCCATGATCGTGAGGGTTCTTGAAAAGTTTGTCCAATACAAATTGCGAACGTGTGATCTCATCTTATGTTGGTTGTGCGGCACCCTATTGAGGGTTTGGTCCCAATTAAGCGTTTGCAAAAATTTGCAATCTAAAAAATCATTGGTTCATCATTGATTCGAGTTTCTTCATTATGTGGGGAAGAGACCGCTTTACAAAACAACAAGCTAGTGTGCAGGCTATTCGTTAGCCTTTGAGAGACGAATAGTTAACTCTTGATTGTGTAGCTGACTTTGTAGGTTTTGTCCGGGGAAGAGCCCGCCGAGGGACAGGATGGCGACAACCTCCGGTCCATCGGTTTCCGCTTCGAAAGTCGGCAAAGAACTCTTGATTGCGTAGCCGACTTTGCGGGACCAAGCGGGACCAGGGGGACATGGCCATCCGTCGAGCCCGCTTAGTCGGGCGCGGCAATACCTCCGAATGGCCATCCGGCGTATATACCCCTAGGCGAGTATACCCAGCAAAGAGAATATACCTCGAATATGTAGTAATTGTAGGGGTAGTATTGTCCATAGAAAGCCTACGTACGTGTATAAATAGCCCCCGTGGCGGGGATTGTAGAGGGAGGGAACATTCTTCATGGTGAATGTACCGATCCAGTTTTTTCCACTTTGTGTTCGCTTTCATATCCACCCCGTTTGGTTCGCTCGCGCGACAGCCTAGTGTTCGAAGGCTAAGGCTTTGAACAACAACCATATACAAAGGGCGAAGCCGTTTTGTCTTCTTTACTAACATAGATTTTGCTAATATACACCTAGATATGCACTATATCTAAGTATACGGTGAAAATTACAAACCTAGAAAAAATAAAAATGACTTACAATTTAGAATGTCGGGGAGTAGCGTACAAGAAACAAGCAGCCAAAATTGGAGGCTATGCCATCCATACAAGAAAAGAGCTAAAGGTCTCCTTTGGAATGGAGGAATTCAAAGGGATTGTGTAGGATTGGATTCAGATAGGAACATTTCCTACTGGAACATTTTGGGAAAAAACATTTCTTTCCTCCATTGAATGTTTGAATTCCGGAAAAAATCCTTTATAAAAGTGGCAAAATAGTCATTTTGGTCCTTGAACTATTACTCGAGGTTTAGTTTTATTCTTGAACTTTCAAAACGGCCGTTTTAGTCCTCAAACTCCTGTTAGGCTCAATTTCATCCTAGAACTACGGAGATGATCATTTCAGCCATCAAACTTTGCATTTTAGGCTCAATTTCATCCTAAAACTATAAAGATGATCATTTCAGTCCTCAAACTTTGCATTTTCGGTCTTTAAACTTTTATTTTCAAACTCAACTTTGTCTATCGTTCTATGTAGAACGTTGTGCTGTTGCATGGTCAGCTTCAACACCACCAATGATTGGAGATAAAAAAAATAATATTCATCCAAAAACACTTTAGTGACCATTAATAATTCTAAGCTGTTATTTTTACTATTACCTTATAATGGTGTCGTTTATATATATTTGACTATAAATAATTCTTTTAGAAGCAATTACAGTTGCTTCAAACGCTATTTATTCCTTAAGAATACATGGATATATTGAAACAATAGTAGATCTATAATTTTTCCTTAGCTACTTCTAATGTTAGGCTCAACTAATAACCAATTGTGTATAAAATAATATTTTTTATCCATTGGCTAAAAATAATTCATATTTAAGAATATTTAGATCTATACTTATATTCATCTTAGAATATGAATACAAATGTTGAAAGTGTGCTATTCGATTCGGTAGCTAGAACGACGCTAGGGATGACTGTCCATCTCAAATCGCAGGTGCTGCTGGACAAAGGACAAAGTTGTGCCAAAATGCATTTTGATAATTCATGGATGAAATTGTGGCCAAAATATAAAGTTTTCTTTTTAGATAGAGAAAATTGAGTTGAAAATAAAAGTTTAAAGGCCAAAATGCACTTTGGTAATTTATGGATGAAATTGAGCAAAAAATGTAAAGTTTGACGACTGAAACGATCATATTCGTAGTTTTTGGATGAAATTGAGCTTAAAGGTAGAGTTTGTGGACTAAAATGGTCGTTTTGAAAGTTTAAGGATGAAACTGAGCCTTGAATAATAGTTCAGAGACCAAAATGGCCATTTTGCCAAAAAAATGAATATTTGAATTGAATTGGCTGTTTCTAAAATAGCTCCAACATTGTAGTTACGATTGTTTTGAGAAGTCCAATGCACAATACTTTTCTCTTGGTTCTCTCTTCTATATATGAAGCTCTTCCTGCAAAAAGAGAAAATTCCTGTGTTTGCTCTGTAACACATCCAAATACCTCTGCTGTATTTTCTCTAAAAGTACCTATGTTGTACAATTCATACATTTTGCAACTTTGTACTTCTAGGTTGTTCCAAGGGAGGTCTAAACCATTTTCTACTAGAACCTTTTTTTTGTATATAATGAAGGTATAATATCCAGCCCTGTTGCACGCTGCCACTCTACTAGAACCAAACACATCATCATCTTTAAAATTTGAAAACAAAAGAAAACAATAAAAGATGTTAGTTGACCTATTGCATCAGCCTCACAGAGACAAAAATAAGTTACCATAGAATTCGGAGGCCCCTTTACCATTTGAGTGCAGGCAAAGGCAAACTGTCAGTTGCTAGTTATGAGCTGTGACACTGCTGACCCTTGGTGTCCCCCAACGGCAAGTGCCTCCACAAGATGCCTCTCTCCTACCGAAAAAGGAAACAAATTTGGCCAGCGCTACACCTCAAGGCGTCTATAAAAGTCTCCCATCTGCACAGGCATCCACAGGGAGTAGATCGAGGACCATCCTAGCTACCCTGCACTGCGCTGCAGCCTGCAGTCTTCAGAATTCGTCAGTCACAGATCGGTGCAGGCGGCCTGAACCTGCATCACCAAACCAATTCCTCAATCAATCTGCCTGCTATTGTGCGATTTGCGAGGCAGGTCAGTTACTGACGTATTGCCTAGCTGAAAGTCTGAAAGATGATCTTGTTTCTTCTGCTTTGCTCTGTGTTTTACTGCTGGAGAAGTATTGTAACTTTGTAATTGCATATCGTCTCACAAATTTGTAGCACTGACAAGACTTCATTTTGTTTGCACGAAGCTGCAATCTTTTTGCAGCAGTAAACCTGTATAAAGTCTTGTTGCCTGAGGCTCCTGCACGCCGGCGGTGTATAAATCATGGAGGACTTCGGCAGCTGGAGTATGCAGTATGCAGCAGCAGATCCATGCCTGCCAAGCCGCGAGGGCGACGACGACGGCCGCCTCCTCGGCGCTTTTCTAGGCGGCGGCTTCGACCTCCGCTCTGACCATGGCGATCTCATCAGCAACCTGCCCTCGTCGCACCCGGTCCAGAACCTCATGCCCGGCCACGGCAGCGCGAGTCTTTCCGTTTCCGACGGATTCATGAGCCTGGACACGGCGGATATGCTCGCGAGCGTCACCGGCGCACTGGACGACGGCGGCCTCCTTGACACGTTCGCTTACGGTTCCGACGTCGTGGTCGCCGAGGCCGAGGAGCCCGCGCAGCCCACCGCGTCGAGCAACGCCTTCTCCGGTTACAGCAGCACCACGGGCGGCAATTATGGCAACATCTCCTCCGGCGAGTCCAACACGTGCGGCGGCGGCGGCGGCGGATGCCATGACACGGAGGTTGCGTCGCCGACCTGCGCCCTGTCGCGGTCGGCGCTGCCTCAGGCAACGGCCGCGCTCGCCTCGAAGCGGAAGCTGGGCAAGTACCCTGCGATAGCCGCGACCACATCAACGGAGGCGCAGATTGCAGCCCCGCGGCGTGGCGCAAAGCGTGACCCCGCGACGTCGTCGTCGTCGACCAGAATAATGTTCGCCGGGCATGGGCATGGCGACCACCAGGCGGCAGGAGGGTCCTCGCCGTCGGTTGGCGGCGGGTACGAGCCGGACTCGGAGGCGCTAGCGCAGGTGAAGGAGATGATCTACCGCGCGGCGGCGATGCGGCCGGTGCACCAGCTCGTGTGCGGGGCCGGCTCCGAGCCGGCGCCGTCGTCACAGAGCAAGCCGCGGCGCAAGAACGTGCGGATCTCGAGCGACCCGCAGACGGTGGCGGCGCGGCTGCGGCGGGAGAGGGTGAGCGAGCGCCTGCGCGTGCTGCAGCGGCTCGTGCCGGGCGGCAGCCGGATGGACACGGCGTCCATGCTCGACGAGGCGGCCAGCTACCTCAAGTTCCTCAAGTCGCAGGTCAAGGCACTGGAGAGGGCGAACCCTAGCAATGGTGGCTACCACGACGGCAGCTTGCTGCCGCAGAGTTACACGGGGAGCCTCGGTGTCAGTGGTGGTGGCACCGGTGTTGCCTTTGGAAGAGATGGCGCCGGCATTGGTGGCTACGTAAAATCTAACAGGAACACGCACTTCTAGCGAACTAGTGATGCATGTAACCATGGATGTGTGAGTGATATATGAGAGAACTACTCGGTTTTGAGGTTAACAAAGTCTTTACTTTATTTCTGAGGAATAATAATCAAAATAATTTAATTTACTCACCTCTCTGTGCTTTTTTTTGGATCGGTGAAAGGTGCAATCATGCTGCAGAAATGCTTTTAGGGATGCAAGGGGTATTTGCGGCGCTCATGGATAAAACCTTTATTTGCATTGTTCACATGCATGTTTTTTTTTTGGAGCAACTTGTTCACATGCATGTGAGTTGTGACCATTTATGTATCATCCTCTTTCGTCAATGGGCCTTCTAGATACGCCTAAAAATTCTTTAGCATCGTGCTCAATGTCGAGCACGAATCTCAAATAGGTTTGAGATGGATTATAGGATATCAATATTATGTTGGTTGTATTATTATAATCCAATCCATATAGTCTATGGTGCTTAGATCACCTAGAGATTATTTTATCTGATTTAATATAATATACAAAGATGATCCAAACAGCCCCCTATTTGGATAAAAGATGCTCATCAATCATCAGGATGACAACAATACAATTAATGCTTGCCTATTTAGCTAGCCTATGCCTCTCAAATCTCAATCAAGCACCAAGGTCGCATAAGTCTTTAATCTATACTTTGAGATAAAAATGTAAATACCACAGTACTTATATTATGGGATGGAAAGTGTATTCGAGTAGAGTAAAAATAATACTAACTAGAGAGTAGCAGGACAAATGTAGACTTATTTCTTTTTTTATAATATAATATTGATGGCACACAAAAGGGGATATTGTCCACTAAACCCGTATACTCCTCTACCATTCTTTTACATGTCGTATTAATTAGGTTTATCCTAAGCTAAACATTCTTAGGTTTGACCTTTTTTTTAAAATTCACGTAGTTTTACAACATGTAAATTATATATCATAATAATATTATGTTGCCAACCTATATTTTTTTTAAAAAATGATGGTCGAAGATTGAAATATTTGGTTTAGAACAAAGCTATGGCAGGAGGGAGTATATAGCAAAACACTTTGATGATAACGCTTGTGACCTTTTTCCTATGTATATGCACTATGCAGAGGAAACAATATGTTATTTTTAGAAAGGATGGCAAAAGCTTTGCCATGATTTCTATTAGACGAAGAAAGAAAAAAAGGCAAATGCTCGCTCAGTTTTTTGAATGGAATCTAGGCCAAAAACCATACAACTGAGGAGAGTGCTTCACTCATCCTATATAACTTTGAAACAGTAACCGAACAACTATTAAAACTCACGCCCCTACTTACTCCAACTTGGTTGAATCGACCTAACTAACAACTCAACTAACAACTAACAAGGACCGGAGAAAACATGACGACCTGCCTAGCGACGCCGAACAGCACAGCTTAGGGCCAGACGGCAAGGAGCAACCACGGAACTACAAAGCTTAGCAATGCCTCCAAGGAGGAAACGACGCTAAAAGCGTTGACAAAGTAGCCCACCAACGGAAGGTTTTCACCTGCAACATCCAGTAGGAGGAGAGGTAGTAAAGGACGCCTCCAAGAAGGTAACGACGTCCGGTCCACAGACGTCGTCGTCCAAGCTTACGCCCCGACCTCAAGCAACCTCCATACTATCGCCGTAGGAGCCCCAACCCTACCATGGAGATAGGGTGCGATGATGGTTCAGCAGCAACCCACCCGGCCGCCGCCCATAGGGACACACCGGTCAGGAGAAATGTAGGGAGAAGCCTGTCGGAGAGTCCACCCCCTACCAGAATCGACAAATTCGGCCAGCAGCAAGCGTATCCGTCTAGCTTCGCCATGAAGCTAGCCCGAGGAAGGAGGAAGGCAGATGGTGGGGAGAAGAGGATTGGGATCAGAAGAAGCCCCAGTTGCCCAGCCCACCAATGTCCCAAACCCTACCAAGCTGGCCTCGCATCCACCACGCCGTGCAAGGCTTCAGCAGCCTTCGCACCAAACCGCGCTGCGCGCGGCCTCCGAGCCACCACCACTCGACACCCGCCGTCACTGCCAGAACTGCCACCACACATGGCCATCATTACCACCGTAGCCAGATCCACCCACGAAGACGACGGGTCTAGCGAAGACAACCCCTGATGCGGCCGCAGCAGCGCCGGAGCAGCTTCACCGGCGGCAGCACAACAACGCGTCCGGAAACCACCACCCAAGCTGAAGCGACCGAAAATGGACGTCGACCAACTGGATCCAGCGTCTTCTTGCGTATCTGGCTAGGGGATGGCTGGATCCGCTCGTCGGAGGCCAGCGCCAGTCGCCGCCCGTCACCATGGCTGGAGCTTGAGCTGGGTGTCAGACCTACCGCTCGAGCGCAAGATGGATGGAAGATCCCTGCCGCTGCCATCCTTGCGGTCACACGGGCCTCCGACGACCCTCTCGGGAAGCGGCGAGGCAGAAGAGGGAGAGGTCTGGGCGACGGCGCTCAGGCCTGGAGTTCCACCCGAGTCGCCCCCGAGAAGGAGCGACGCGGGGGCGAGCTGGGTCTTTTTAGGACTATTCTACATTTCTACTAACTTTGTCCCACCAACTTTACCACGGAGTAGCTTAAAAAATCTAGAGTTTCTAAGGGAATCCAGTATGTGCTTTATAAACTCCATCTTCTCTTTATGAAGAAGCTGATAGAGCTGTCCGACCCTGTTTGACTAGCAAACGTTAAAAAGGGATGTGAAAAAGATCAAGTGGAGTACTCGGAATGGACAGGTAACACAAAACTATTTATCGTTTCTTTTGTGCAGCAGCACAGGGCATTGTCCGATCCGCAGACGTCGTCATCCAAGCTTAAGCCCTGACCTCAAGCAACCTCCACACTATCGCCGCCGAAGCCCCAACCCTACCATGGAGGCAGGGTGCGATGATGGTTCAGCAACAACCCACCCGAACGTCGCCCATAGGGACACCGGTCAGGAGAAACGCCGGAGAAGCCCATCGAAGAGTCCGCCCCCTGCCGAAATCGGTAAAGCCGGCCAGCAGCATGCGTATCCACCTAGCTCCGCCATGAAGCCAGCCCGAGGAAGGGGGAAGGAAGATGGTGGGGAGAAGAGGGCCGAGATCAGAAGAAGCCCCAGTCGCCCAGCCCACCAATGTCACAACCCCTGCCGAGCCAGCGCCGCATCCACCATGTTACGCAAGGCTTCAGCAGCCTCCGCACCAAACCGCGCTGCGCGCGGCCTCCGAGCCAGCACCACTCGACACCCCCCGTCACTGCCAGAACTGCCACCACACATGGCCATCGTTGCCACCGTAGCCAGATCCACCCACGAATACGACGAATCCAGCGAAGACAACCCCCGATGCGGCCGCAGCAGCGCCAGAGTAGCTTCACCGGCGGCAGCACAACAACACGTCCGAAAACCACCACCCAAGCTGAAGCTGTCGGAAACGGACGTCGACCAATCGGATCTGGTGTCTTCTTACATATCTGGCTAGGGGATGGCCGGATCCGCTCACCGGAGGCCAGGGCCAGCCACCGTCCGTCACCATGGTTGGAGCTTGAGATGGGTGTCAGACCTACCACTCGAGCATTAGATGGATGGAAGAGCCCCCCTGCCGCCTTCCTTGCGGTCACACGGGCCTCTGGCGACCCGCTCGGGTGGCGGCGAGGCAGAAGAGGGAGGGGTCTGGGTGGAGGCGCTCAGGCCTAGAGTTCCGCCCGAGTCGCCCCCGAGAAGGAGCGACGCGGGGGGCAAGCTGGGTCTTTTTAGGACTATTCTACATTTTTCTACTAACTCTGTCCCACTAACGTTACCGCGGAGTAGCTTAAAAAAATCTAGGGTTTCTAAGGGAATCCAGTATGTGTTTTATAAACTCCATCTTCTCTTTGTGAAAAAGCTGATAGAGCTGTCTGTCCCTGTTTGACTAGCAAACGTTAAAAATGGATCTGAAAAAGATCAAGTGGAGTACTCCGAATGGATAGGTAACACAAAACTATTTATCATTTCTTTTGTGCAGTAGCGCAGGGCATTGTCCAATCCGCAGACGTTGTCGTCTAAGCTTAAGCCCTGACCTCAAGCAACCTCCACACTATCGCCGTCGGAGCCCCAACCCTATCATGGAGGCACGGTGCGACGATGGTTCAGCAACAACCCACCCGGCCACTTCCCATAGGGACACCGGTCAGGAGAAATGCCGGAGAAGCTCGTCGGAGAGTCCACCCCCTGCCAGAATCAGAAAAGCCGGCCAGCAACATGCGTATCCGCCTAGCTCCACCATGAAGCCAGCCCGAGGAAGGGGGAAGGCAGATGGTGGGGAGAAGAGGTCCGAGATCAGAAGAAGCCCAGTCGCCTAGCCCACCAACGTCACAACCCCAACCGAGCCGGCCCCGCATCCACCACGTTGCGCAAGGCTTCAACCTCCTCTGTACCAAACCACGTTGCGCGCGGCCTCCGAGCCACCACCACTCGACACCCGCCATCACTACCAGAACTGCCACCACACATGGCCATCGTTGTCGTCGTAGCCAGATCCACCCACAAAGAAGATGGATCCAGCGAAGACAGGCCCCGATGCGGCCGCAGCAGCGCCGGAGCAGCTTCACCGGTGGTAGCACAACAACGCGTCCAGAAACCACCACCCAAGCTGAAGCGGCCGAAAACGGACGTTGACCAACCGGATCCGGTGTCTTCTTGCGTACCTGGCTAGGGGATGGCCGGATCCGCTCATCGGAGGCCAGGGCCAGCCGACGTCTGTCACCATGGCTGGAGCTTGAGATGGGTGTCCGACCTACCGCTTGAGCGCAAGATGGATGGAAGAGACCCGCCACCGCCTTCCTTGCGGTCACACGGGCCTCCGGCGACCCACTTGGGCAGCGGCGAGGCAGAAGAGGGAGGGGTCTGGGCGGCGGCACTCAGGCCTGGAGTTGCGCCCGAGTCGCCCCGGGAAGGAGAGACGCAGGGGTTGAGCTGGGTCTTTTTAGGACTATTCTACATTTCTACTAACTCTATCCCACCAACTTTACC